TAGAAACCAAGTTAAGTTAAATACCAAAAATAAACATGACTAGGAATACAAATCATGTCTCAATAATAATCCTGAATATTTTTTAAAAATTATTTATTCTAATTTTTGTTACACATGCAGAAGGCAATTCATTTCATATTACACATAGAGCACAACCCTGAATGTTAATGGCCTACAATGACAATCGAAAAGCTAGACTGGCAGATTGGGTTTAAAAAAAAAAAACCTAACAATATGCTGTCATCTCATAGGAAAAGACATCCACAGACTGAAGGTGAAAGGTTGGGGGAAAAAAAAAAACATACTACTCACATGGACTGCAGAAACAAGCAAGGTTTCCGTCCTCATATCAAATAGAGTAGACTTCAAGCCAAAGTTAATCACAGGGGATAAAGAAGGATATTTCATACTGTTTAAGGGAACCATACATCAATAAGATATAACAATTATATATGCCCCAAACCATGTAGCATCTACAGTCCTCAAACAAACACATTTCAAGTTCAAGAGTTGAGTAGACCACAACACAATAATTTTGATGATTTTAACAAACCTCTTTCACTACTAGATAAATCTTCTGAACAAAAGCTAAACAAAGAAATTATAGAATTCAATAATACAATCAATAACTTACATAGATAGAATATTTTATTCATGAATGACTGAAATCACTTTCAGCACATGGATCCTTCTCTAAAATAGACCATATATTATGTCATAAAGCAACTTAGCAAATACAAAAAAAAAAAAAAAAGTAGATACCCTGAATTCTATCAGATCATAATGGAATGAAATTTAGAAGTCAATGATTAAATTAAAAATAGACGCTACTTCAACACCTGTAGACTAAATAATATGCTACTGAATGAACAATGGTTGCAAAAGAGGTGATTAAAAAAATTCTTAGAGGTAAATGAGAACACTGATACAACATTGAAATCCCTGAGACACTATGAAGGCAATACTAAGAGGAAAGTTCATTGCATGGAGTTCATTCCTTTTATTTTATTTTATTTTTTTTTTTAGAGAATTTTAATATTTAGTTTTCGGCGGACACAACATCTTTGTTTGTATGTGGTGTTGAGGATCGAGCCCAGGCCGCACGCATGGCAGGCCAGCACGCTACCGCTTGAGCCACATCCCCAGCCCCATGGAGTTCATTCCTTAAAAGAAGAAACGGTAAACAAATGATCTAATGTTGCATCTCCAAGCCCTAGAAAGAAAACAACAAATCAACACCAAAAGCAGTAGAAGATAGAAAATTAAAATCAGAGCTAAAATCAATGAAATTGAGACAAAAGAAAATTGAAAAAATTGAGAAAACAAAAAGTTAGTTCTTTGAAGAAATAAATAAAATTGATAAATCTTAGCCATGATAACAGGAGAAAGAAAGAGAAAACTCAAATTACTAACATCTGTGATGAAAAAGGAAATATCATGATGGACACTACAGAAATATAGAATATAATTAGAAATTATTTTGAAAATTTGTACTCCAGTAAAATAGAAAAACTATCGACAAATTTCTAGTCTCATGATTTGCTCAGACTGAATCAGGATGATATATACAAGTTAAACATGTCAATTAATAGAAGACACCATCAGAAGCCTACCAACCAAGAAAAGCCTAGGACCAGATGGATACACAACTGAGTTCTACAAGACCTTCAAAGAAGAACTAATACTCCTCAAATTATTTCATGAAATAGAAAAAGAGGGAACACTTCCAAACTCATTCTGTGAAGTCATTATCACCCTGGTTCTAAAACCAGACAAAGACATATCGAAGAAAGAAACCTTCAGACCAATATCTCTAATGAACATAGATGCAAATTTTTTCAATAAAATTCTGGCAAATACAAAAACATATCAAAAGGATAGTGCACCACAATCAAGTAGGGTTCATCCTAGGGATGCAGGGTTGGTTCAATATGAAAATCAGCAAATGTAATTCATCACATTAATAGACTTAAAGATAAGAATCATATGATCATCTCATTAGATGCAGAAAAAGCATTTGACAAAATACAGGACCCCTTCATTCAAACCACTAGAAAAACGAGGAATCACAGAAACATATTTCAACATTGTAAAAACTGTTATTCTAAGATCCAGGCCAACATCATTCTAAATGAAGAAAAATTGAAAGCATTCCCTCTAAAAAAAATGGAACAAGACAGGGATGCCCTCTTTCACCACCACTATTTAACATAGTTCTTGAAACTCTAGCCAATCAATTAGACAAAAGAAACTAAAGATACGGGTAGGAAAAGAATTCAAATTATCACTGTATACTGATTATATGATTCTATACTTAGAAGATCCAGAAAATTCCACCAGACAACTTATAGAACTAATAATGAATTCAGCAAGATATAAAATCAACACCCATAAATCAAAGGCATTTCTGTACATCAGTGACAAATCCTCTGAAAGAGAAACTAGGAAAACTATCCCATTTACAATAGCCTCAAAACAAAACCAAGAAACTAAAACCTTGGGAATCATTGAAAGAGGTGAAAGATCTCTACAATAAAAATTACAGAATGCTAAAGGAAGAAATTAAAGAAGACCTTAGAAGATGGAAATATCTCCCTCGTTCTTGGATAGGCAGAATTCATATTGTCAAAATAGCCATACTACCAAAAGCACTATACAGATTTAATGGAATTGCAATTAACACCCCAATGACATTCCTCATAGAAATAGTAAAAGTAGTCATGAAATTCATTGGAAAAATAAAGAGACCCAGAACAGCTAAAGCAAGAAGAGTGAAGCAGGTGGCATCACTATACCAAACCTTAAACTGTACTACAGAGCAACAGTAGCAAAACGGTGTGGTATTGGCACCAAAATAGACTTGTAGACCAGTGGTGTAGAATAGAGAACACGGAAGCAAACTCACATAAATACAGTCATATTAGACAAAAGCGCCAAAAATATATTGGAGAAAGGATATCCTCTTCAACAAATGGTGCTGGGAAAACTGGAAATCCATATGCAACAAAATGAAATTGAGCCCCTATCACCATACAAAAAACAACTCAAATTGGATCAAGGACCTAGGAACTAAACAAGGGACCCTGTGCCTAATAGAAGAAAAAGTAGGCCCCACCTTCCTTAATAAGACTCCTATTGTGCAAGAAATAAAATCAAGAATCCAAATGGGGTGGATTCAAACTAAAAATCATCATCTAAGCAAGAAACAATCAGTGAGGTGAATAGAGAGCCTACAGAATGGGAGCAAATTTTTCCTACATGCACATCAGATAAAGGACTAATCTCTAGGGTATATAAAGAACTCTAAAAGCTAATCACCAAAACAAACAAACCAAATCAATAAATGGGCCAAGGAACTGAACAGACACTTTTCAGAAGATGATATACAATCAATCAACAAATACATTAAAAAATATTCAATATCTCTAGTAATTAGAGAAATTCAAATCAAAACTACTCTAAGATTTTTATCTCACTCCAGTCAGAATGGCAGCTATTAAGAATACAAACAACAGTAAGTGTTGGCAAGGATGTGGGGGAAAAGACACTCATACATTGCTGGTGGGACTGCAAATTGGTGCAACCAATATGGAAAGTGGTATGAAGATTCCTTGGAAAACTTGAAATGTAACCACCATTTGATCCAACTATCCTCCTCAGTTTATACCCAAACGACTTAAAAACAGCTATATCAATATTTATAGCAATACAATTCACAATGGCTGAATTGTGGAACCAACCTAGATGCCCTTCAGTAGATAAATGGGTAAAGAAACTATGGTATATTTACACAGTTGGATATTACTCAGCATTAGAAGAGAATAAAATCATGGCATTTGCAGGTAATTGGGTGGGGCTGGAGAATATTATGCTAAGTGAAGTAAGCCAATCCCTCCAAAACCAAATACCGAATGTTTTCTCTGTTATCAGGATGCTGGTCCATAATAGGGATGGCGGTGGGCATGAGAGGAATGGAGGAACTTTAGATAGGGTAGAGGGGAGGGGAAGAGAGGGGGTAAGAAAAACGATGGAATGAGATGGACATCATTACCCCAAGTACATGTATGAAGACATGAGTGGTGTGACTCTACTTCGCATACAACCAGAGACATGAAAAATTGTGCTCTATATGTGTAGTATGAATTGAAATGCATTCTGCTGTTACATGTAAGAAATTAGAATAAATAATTTTTTTTTAGAGAGAGAGAATTTTAATATTTTTATTTTTTAGTTTTCAGCGGACACAACATCTTTGTTTGTATGTGGTGCTGAGGATCGAACCCGGGCCGCACGCATGCCAGGCAAACATGCTACCGCTTGAGCCACATCCCCAGCCCAAGAATAAATAAATTAATTTAAAAAAAAAAAGCAAAGCCCGATAGAAAACTGCTGGTGATCCTTAAAAGATCCATGTAGAATTTTAACTTGGAAAAAGTATTCATGTATTCATACAGCATATGCTTTTCTTCCATAATTTGTAAATATTATGCACTGAAAAAATATTTCTCCATTGTTTGCAGTTATCTTGGTAAGTAGTTCACCACCTTTTGAATTCTTATTTCTTATTCTTTTAATTTTTTTTTTAAAGAGAGAAATTTTTTAATATTATTTTTTTAGTTTTCGGCGGATACAACATCTTTGTATGTGGTGCTGAGGATCGAACCCGGGCCGCACGCATGCCAGGCGAGCGCACTACCACTTGAGCCATATCCCCAGCCCTCTTTTAATCTTTTTATTTGTTAAAATGAATTCTGATGTTGTGGCTCAGTGGTAGAGCGCTTGCCTAGCATGTGCAAGACACTGGGTTTAATAATCAGCACCACATAAAAATAAATAAAATAAAGGTATTGCATCCAATTAAAACTAAAAGGGAAAAAAAAGAATTCTGATAGACTGGAGGTGCAACTCAGGGCCTAGCATGCTGAGGCCCTGAGTTCCATTCCCAGGACCCCCCCCCCAAAAATAAATAATCTTAAAATTAAGTACTGAGAATCAGAATCCATATTACATAGATGATTACTCCTTCAAAGTGTTCATTGTATTAGTTTCACGGGACTTGTCCAATAACATCTTCAGGTCTGTAAGAAAAAATTTGAAAGCAGTTAGGTGATCTGGATTCCAGTTTACAGGTAAATACATCCGAATACAGTTTTTAATAAAGTACCCTAATTTCTTATAATTATTACAACATTGTTATGTAGGCAAAATTTAGCACTCAGAAAAACAAATGATACAAGGGCCTTTTTAGTCCAATGGCATCAGTGTGGACTCTGCTTAGAATAACTCACTGCAATTAATGTCACTGACAGAGGCAACTATAATTTAGCAGGACAAGAAGGGATAATTTGATATCCGACTTAGGATAGCAATTGTGAGTAAACCAAGGCCTTTAAATTGTTCAATGAAAAGATGGTCATAGTTGGAGTACTGTCATGATAATATGCATACTTACCTTAATAAAGCTACACTCCAGGTCTCAGACCTGGAGCTAGGAATCTGTTTGCATCCTCAAGACTGCATTAGCATGGGAAAGTTCCCATTGTGGGGTGATCCAGGCCCTGGTGGGCCACTCAGGAAATGTGTTAAGGACTTTCTGTGCATAGGACTTCAGTGTGTGACATGGATAAGTTATCTAAACAGGAACTACTAGTTATAATCCCAGTCTCTAGTTCACTGTGATTTGTGTTCTAGCTGAAGACTAATTTAAGGAGTAGGGATGAAAAGTACCCTAATAAAATCCAACTTTGAAATAGGAATTTTTCATCTAAAATGTGCACTTTTAAGGAATTATGGAAAAGAGTGTTTCAGTTGGTATAACTGGATTAGAGCATTTGGAAATGTGTTGTTTCTAATGGTTTTTCAGTAATACAGCAACAGTATTTGCACAGTGAACAAATATGGGATTGTATTTTTCAAGATGAAAGCAATTAAAAGATATGCAAAAGGCAAACAGTTGCCTAATGATGAACTTACTGTTTGCTCTTCAGTGGAATTTCCAACCCCAGCCTGCTCCATTAGGACATTCACATTCTTCTGTAAGTCCTCTATGCGATTCCCCATGTCTTCCAGTGCCACGTCAAGGAAAACTGCACATGTAGGTCTGGGGTGCAGAGTGACCACAGACACGCCCTCAAGGCCATACCTTCTCCACAGAGAGGAACTTGTAAAATGAAGGGTCAATGCAAATTTGCTGCCTCCTGAGTCCCTTTTAGTGTGCATCTTGAACCTTGAAGTGAGAAACTTGGCTTTTAAACCTGCCAAACTCTGAGCATAATATAATGGAAATTTAACTTTTAAAACAACTCTATGGTTTAATTTATCGTGTTATCATGTTTTACCTTGTTGGGAACCCATCTTCAAAATCAAAAGCTGCAGGTAAGCACTTCCAAATGTAAATACTTTGCACAATGTTTAAGGAATGCACTTAGTTGAATAAAGTGAGCTCAAATTGGGCAAGTTTTAAGGCACTTTTTGCCCTTACCTGAACTTACTCATTGGAAACATTCTGTGTTAATTTTGTAACATTTGTGTTTCTGAAATAAAAGAGTGAGCCCGGGAAGTCAAAACAAAGCAATGGCACAGCAGTGTCTAGCCTCCTATTGGACTTCAGCACCGTCCTCTAAGTGTTGCAGACCAGGTTGTCCAGGTGGTCAGGAGCAGAGTGGTGCCCTTGAACTTCACACTTGCCACAGACCTCTGGCATTGACAGCATAGGAAAAGCCCCTTAGAAGGGCAAGTGTAAATACTGGAGAATCCAAATAAACAACTATTTGTCCACAGCAGAAGACAATGGAGATGTGCCTGTCCAAAAGCATTAGTGTTTACCAAAGATAGAAGAGGATATTTCTCAGGTTTAAGGCTGCAGTGAGAGCTTGAAAATGTTCTTGAAGTTCCTGAAGTAGATGTTCTGCCTGGAAAATGGAACCACAAAGTACTCAACATTTATTATTAATGAAGTAATCCATCATACATGCTCCAGTGTTTTTTTCCCCTGCATCTTTGAATAGTTTTATTTTTCATTTGTTTGGCTCTACAGAGAAATAAAAAGAAAATACAAAACGTTTAGATGCTGAATACGTGGGCTCCAGTGGCTTTTGACAAAGGTGCCAAGCACCAGAAAGAGATGACTGTGCAAAACTGCATCTGTACACTACACAGTTAACTCGCAATGAGCACACACCTACCCTCTGAGAGCTGAAATGTAAGTCTAGGGAGGAGCACAGGGAGCAGCCTCAGTCACTCTCAAGAGCTCCCCAAGGAGGCGAAGCCATTCACAGCTCATGTATCCTCCTTACTACGGGTGTTCACCAGCTGGTGGCGTTGGTGTTGTAGTTGGTTTTATCAGCCAGGTTGCGCAGAATATCGTTACAGCTAGCGTTTCACGTTTCTGCGCTGCTTTCTAGTTTGCACGTTAAATAATTTATGACCTGAGACCTCTCACCCCTGTATTTGTTGGCGGTGGAAGCACTGGACCAGCACTCCTAGTCTGCCTTCTCACTGCGGAGCTGCCATCCTTATCTCTAGTTGCCTCCTTCAATCAGGGGCGTCTACCTTGGTCAGGAAAATGCAGTCTGTTCATGTAGCAAATTCTTTTTAACAGGGTAAACCTATCTGCCTCTTCCAGGCTTGGAACCTGTTTTGGCAAACAGGAGAGCAGGCGGGACGCGGAAGACTCAGAGGGTCCAAAGTCACCCCTCCTGGGGCGGGGCTCTAAAAACCAGCCCGGCTCCAGCGGTGGGGCAGGACTTTCACGGGTTCCAGGAAGGGGCGGGGGCGTCCTAGAGGCACAGGTTCTGGCTGCTTAGTCCGGGCCGCCGGGACCACTCACCGCGTCCCGCAGCGGGTCCCCGTGGGGACCCTCGGAGGTCCGTGCGTCCATGTGCGCGTCGGGGTCCGCCAGAGCACGGGCTGCCAGGCCTGGGCGCGGGGCGGACGGACGGACCAGCTCCTGTGGCGCAGCTTGGGCCTTCCTCGGCCAGGGGCGGAAGTGGCCGGGGAGGAGCTGGCAGCCAGAGCTCTCGGTCGTTGGTCTTCGCAGCGGCGCAGTGCACGCAAGACAGGGCTAAGCGCCCGCCTTTGCAAGGCGCGCCGTTGGGTGTGGCTGTGCCAGAACCGGCGGGCTGGCACGAAACTGCAACCCCGCCTGCTGCCACGAGCGCTTATTATTGACTTAGCTGAGGCGCAGTTAGATTCAGTCAAACCTATTTTATTGATGCTCATCACACTTCACACACATCCCAATTCTAAGTACTAAGTCTACACCCAAGGGTCCCAGAAGCTCACCTGTGACGTGTCTTAAATCCGGGTTGCTGGAACTCGATCGGGGCGGATGAGTAACTGGGTGAGGTCTGGAGTTTAGACTCATACATCACCAACTTAAATCTAAGTTCTGCACATTACATCATGGGCCACATTATATTATAATTAACATAACCGACAGTCAGTAATCCTATATTTCTGGTACTCATATCACCTGCCCTTCTGCCTTCTGTGTAGATGCACTAAGACGCTCGCCTCTTGATGAGGGACACGCACAAAGCCCTGGGCCATGGAGTCAGTTGCCCCTGGAATCTACCATTTCTGTGGATGCCAATCTCAGAATTAATTATGGTTATGACCAATTCACCCTGTTCCAGCAGTCACATGTACAACACTACTTTCCCGGAAAGTCTGGAAGATGTCCCATGACCCCTGCTCTCATTCAGAACCTCTGACTTCTGAATGGTGGGTCACCTTGTGGGCCATCTCCCAGAGCTATGTTCTCAGCAGTTACCTGTTGGTTCCCATGGCTGTACCTCCAGAGCTGTAGCTATGAGGGAGCAGGGCTGTGTTTGTCTGGCTCACCACAGTGACCCCAAAGCCTAGCCCAGTGACAATCCCTAGATGCCCAGGGTGCAGAATGTGTGCTTAAATAATACATGGCTACACAAAGATGTCGACTTCAGTAGTCACCAAGAAAATGCAATCCCACACCCAATGAGAGAGGTCCTATTTCACATGCCTTTATGGCTGGAATAAGCATAGGGGGCTGTGGAGGAACTGCAGTCCTTACATGCTACTGGTGGGAACACCAAACCATGCCTTCACTTTGGAAAGCAGGCTAGTGGGTGCTCCCTGTTGAACAGAATTTAACATTCCACTCTAGGTGTGTACCTAAGAGAATTGCCAGGTGGGTCTATGCAACTTGCACACCAATGTTACAGCAACATTATTAACAAGTAATACGTCAGACTGTGGAAACAACCCAGCTGTCCATCAGCAGATGAGTGGACACACAACGTGGTTTATCCATACAAACTACTGATGCATGCTGCAATGTGAATGAACGTCCAAAACATTTTTGCTAGTTTTTGTTAAGTGAAGTAAGGCAAACTGAGAGTCAAGGGTTATATGTCTTCTTTCACCTGGAAGCTACAAAGAAAAAAAGGGGGGGGGGAAGATGGGGAGGAACTCATGATAATAGAAGGGAAACCAATAAAGTAGGGGAATGGAGGAGGGAGGGAAAGGGAAGTGCTATGGTTTGGATATGAAGTATCCCTCAAAAGCTCCTGTGTTGATGCAGGAATAAGAGATGAAATGATTGGTTGTGAGAGCTAATCAGTCCATCCTAGTTTGAATGAACTGACAGGTGGTAACTGTAGGCAGGTAGGGCAGGGTTGGAGGAGATGGGTCCCTGGGGGCATGTCCTGGAAGGGTTCAAGTTCCCCATGGCATCCCCCCCCCCCC